CACTGAAGCAAGCAAGCCTCATGTTAGTTTCAAGCTGCCTGGCTGCCGGCAGCCATCTTGGCTGGCAGTTAATTTGCATATTGCCCTGATTAGCCAATGGGAAGGGTAGCGGTTGTACGCTAATTACCATGTTTCTCTTTTATTAGATTAGATGGTGTAAGGGCAATGTATACAACCCGCCCTTCACAGCTGTAGACTTCCAAGTGTGGACAGAAAATACTGTTTTCAATATAGGTCTTACAGATTTAGTGACATTTTCCTAGAGCACCTATAATAACTGCTTTGCTGATCACTCTATCTACCCTTACATCTTTTCTTTAATCCTAATCACATTCACTGTATCTTATAAACCTTTCTCTTTCTCAAAAATTAGTGAATCTTCTTACCTATCTATGTATCTTATAAAGTATTTTACTTTTCTCTTAATTCTCACACTGTATTTTCACTTGCATATGAACTGCATTATATAAACCAATCAATCAAGATGTTGCATATTATTATCAAGGGAGAAATCGACAACAATACAATCATAGTAGGGGTCTACAATACATCACTGGATAAATCCTCTAGACAAAAAATCAGCAAAGAAACAGCAATCCTAAATGACTCACTAGATCAGATGGACTTAATTGACATCTTTGGAACATTTCACCCCAATGCCACAGAATATACATTCTTCTCAAGTGCTCATAGGACACATGAAAAAATAGACCACACATTGGGTCACAAAGTCTCCCCAAATTCAAGAAGATTGAAATCATACCAAGCGTCTTCTCAGACCACAATGGCATAATATTAGAAATAAACTACAATAAAAACCCAAGATACTAAAAAAAAAAATTAGTATATACATATAAAAGCCTAAGTGACCAAACAACCGGTCGCAATAATGCGCACTGACCACCAGGGGGCAGATGCTCAAGGCATGTGGTCAGTGCGCTCCCACAGCAGAGTGCCACTCAGCTGACTGATGGACGCCAGACACAGGGCTCATGCTGGCAAGTGACAGGCGCAGTGTGAGCCAGGATGAGCGGGAGCAGCACGGCGCCCAGCCTGGGTTTGGGCTCCTCCCCAGCCACCTGCTGCTTCATGCACTACTACATCCCAGGCCTGTGGGGATCAGGCCAAAACTGGCAGTCCAATATCCCCTGAGGGGTCCTGGATCGTAAGAGGCCACAGGCCAGACTGAGGGACCCCAACAGTGCACGAATCCATGCACCGGGCATCTAGTTCTTTAAATAAATGCCTTTCCACAAACCTAGCAACATTATAAGGGAGCCCCCCAGAACAC